TGCAACTCCAGTTGCATGCAACTAGGTCCAATTTGACCAGTTGCATGTGTTTGTTTTGCTGCAACTCACAGTTGCAGTTGCAACCACAGTTGCAAAACAACCCTTAGTTGCAACATATGACTTACGTCAAAAATGACCGCAAGTCATAGTTGCAACTTAGTTGCAACTGACCTAAATTTATTAAAATCAAAATCATTACTTAATATTTCAAAAATAAATTCATTAAAGGTTTAAAATAATCTTTTAAATAATTCTTATTATAATAATTTCTTCAAAAACGTTTTTAAAAAAAAAACAACATTAATCTTTTAAAATAATTATTATTATAATAATTTCTTCAAAATAATATGTTAGTTTTTAAAGTAATATATTATCTTTAAAATAATATATTATTTTTTAAAATAATATTTTTTTAAAAATAATATATTTTTAAAAATAATATATTTTTTGAATAATATATTTTTTCTAAAATAATATATTTTCCTAAAATAATATATTTTTTGAAAAATAAAATTTTCCAGGAATACTATTATTTTTCTAAAATAATATATTTTTTGAATAATATATATTTAAAATAATATAATTTTCTAATAATATATATATTTTTAAAACATATATATTATTTTTTAAATAATATTTTTTAAAAAATATATTTTTTATAATAATATAATTTTCCTAAAATAATATATTTTTAAATATAATATATTGTTTTCTAAAATAATTATATTTTAAAATAATAATTTTTAAAAATAATATATCATATAATTTAAAATATATATTTAATACTATATTTTTGTAATAATCTATTTTTTTAATAATATATATTTAAAATAATATAATTTTTTTGAATAATATATTTAAAATAATATAATTTTCTAAAATATATATATATTTAAAATAATATATTTTTTGAACAATATATTTTTAAAATAATATGTTTTTGAATAATGTATTTTTAAAATAATATAATTTTCTAAAAATAATATATATTTTAAATGATATATTATATTATTTTTAAAAATATTATATTAACTTTTAAAAATATATTATTTTTTAAAATATTTATTTTTTAAAAATATATTATTTTTTTAAAATATGTTATTTTTAAAAAAATTATTTTTTAAAAATATTTTATGAGTTGCATATGTTAAGTTATAAGCATAATCAAACAGCTGCAACTATAAGTTGCAAAATTTAAATTTTAAACCAAACAATTGCAACTGTAGTTGCATGTAAGAAGAGTTGCAACGTCTCAGTTGCATGCAAGTGACACTTGCATTGCAACTCCAGTTGCAAACAACCAAACGCCACCTAAGTGTGAGTCACATCATCCAATAATATAATGACAACTCATCTCATCTCATCTTATCTCTTATTTTTAAGAATGAATCAAACACAATAGAAGAACCTATTATAGGAAATATGTTTTCTATGTTGCGCGCAGCGAAAATTTCGGCAGCACTTCGGCAGCACAACAAGAGAGTTAGGTCGCAATAAGAATTCTCGTCTCACCAAGGAAACAAGAATCTGAAGCAAAATATCTCAATCAAGTGAGATATCAGCTCTTCCTCTCATCAATTCTAGGACTGACCTGTCGAGGGAACCTAAAAGCTATTACAAATCACACAAATAGCAGTACAATCAATTTTTACGTGGTTCGGCAAATTGCCTACGTTCACGGGGCAAGGAGGGGGAGATCTACTATTAGAGAGAGAGATTACAACTAGGGTTTACAATCACTCACAACCTAAACCCTTAAACAAACTCTCAAATCCCTCACAATATCTCTCTACAAAAGCCGCTGATTTTTCTTCTTCTCAGCCAAAAAATCACCTTCAGTTTTTGCCTTCTGGTCTGCACGCCGCCCAAGTCAGAAGCCCCTGCTATTTTGTACTTGCACACTGCAGCCGCACAAAATCAAAACAAATTCCTTTGCACCCCTCAATTGCACAAAAGCCTGCACACAAAATTCCTCTTGAAATTCTGCGTTTTTCTTCTTTCGTTACAGCAGAAACCCTCAGCCGATGCTCTTCTCCTGCAGCCACAATTTTTTTTCTTCGCAGCCAAAACCTTCTTGCTTGCACAAAACCCTAGGCAGTTTTTCCGTGTGCATTTATAAGCACGAGTTGTGATTATGATTCTCGGGTGGGCCTTCATGAGCCTTCATTCACGCGGCTTCTTTTCATCACACGGGTGCTACGGGTGCTGCTCCAGCTCGTGGTCCCCACCTGCATAATTCTCCACCTTGGTGAAGTTTTTCCAAAATTGAGCCGACACCATAGCATCCAAATATCCTAACTTATTGTGTCCAGTACGAACTCAATCCACAACAAGTCGAGAACCCGAACGAGAGTCCAAACAATCTCACCCCATCAAAATCAACTAATCCAAACCGACTGTATCTGAAAGACTGCCTACGTATCCTCTTACCCACGGAACCAAGCCGAACGTAGTTCACCCAAATGGCCTCCAACAGTGACACAGCACGGAAGTTGTTACCTCGGAATCCACCAAAGATGTTCTCTGAATCCACAAAGAACGATCTTCGAATCCATGAAGATCTTCGAATCCACGAAGAAATATTGAGTAAAAACGAAATTTTATTAATCAAAAGTTATGCTTCTAGGGCTTACAAGACTTTTCTTAAATAGAAAAAGAAACAAGACTCCTACAAGGACTCTAATTCCTACAATGACCCTCAACTTACCAAAAATGGTAAAGAATTCCTAAAACATTAAAACTCCTAAAAAGACTCCTTATGATTAGGAAAGTCCTCCGGTCAAATCTGAGATCAAATCGGATTTGTTTCCTAAACAAAACAGACTCCTAAAATATTACTAAAAATAGTAAAAAACGGACAAAAATACAAATATCTCTCAAACCGTAAGGAATTTGGCAAAACTGAGAACGCAAACCGAACCTTGGGGGGTCGGTTTGGATGGCTCCGTCTCGTCGAGATAGTCGATTTTTATATATAATTCGTCCAATTCTGACGTACGGTTTGAAAGTTACGATCGTTTCTTCGAAACAAGTTATTTTCTTCGACCAGGCCCGCATTTGGGCTTACGACTGTCCCACTTTGACATAAACATGTCTGCTAAATGTTTTACATCAGTGTCCCCCCTGCTTGAAAAGAGCTCGACCCTGAGCTTACACTTGCATGAATAGTTGTTTCTTCTGGTGGATAATACTCAAACAAATCTGCAACATTAAAACTAGGAGAAATACCCAAATCTGTAGGAAGGTCAACCACATAAGCGTTATCGCTAATCTTCTTCAGTATTTTGCATGGACCATACTTCTTATTCTTCAGCTTGTTGTAGGTGCCCACGGGAAAACGTTCTTTTCGCAGAAACACCATCACCATGTCTCCTTCTTCAAACACCTTCTTCCTCCTGTGTTGATCAGCATCGGCTTTATATTTAGCATTAGACTGTTCTATCTTTTCCTTCACCTCCTGCTGGATAGCACGTATCTTTTCAACCATATGATCCACAGGAACACTCTGTCCGGGAGCTTAGGCAATGGAGCAAGGTCGAGATAATGATTCGGAAGCCTTCCATACACAATCACAAAGGGTGCCTTGCTTGTAGTTCGACTCTCCATACAGTTATAAGCAAACTCAACATGTGCCAAAGCAAGATCCCACTGTTTCGATCGATCTCCAGAGATGGATCTAAGAAGATTACCGAGTGTGCGATTGACCACTTCAGTTTGGCCATCTGTTTGAGGGTGATAGACAGTACTAAACTTAGGATCTCGATCGGATGTAATGGACTTCGGCACTCCATGAAGGCGAACTATCTCCCGAAAGAAAAGATTAGCAATGTTGCTCGCATCTGCAGTCTTCTTGCACGGAATAAAGTGCGCCATCTTCGAAAACCTGTCAACCATAACAAAAACAGAATCCATGCCTCATTGGGTTCGAGGCAGTCCCAACACAAAGTCCATAGAGATATCATGTCATGGTGCATCAGGAACAGGTAAACATATTTTTCAGATCCATTCTTCAACTGAGGCTAGTAATATCGTTCTTCAATGGCTGCAATTATTTTATCACGTCCCAAATGTCCTCCTAGTCCGCCAGCATGAAGGTCTCAAATTATCTGCTCTCTTAGTGAACTTTGGGGTATGCACAATTGATCGCCATGAAATAGATAACCATCCTGAATATGAAAGCCTTTGACTGATTTATTTTGAAGACAGTCGTCCCAAATCTTCTTAAAATCTTCATCCTATGCATACAGCTCCTTAAAGTACTCAAACGCAATCACTTCAGCCTTCAAAGTTACCAATAATCCAGCCCTCCTACCGAGTGCATCTACAACCTTATTCTGCTGCCCGGATTTATGCTTCAAAACAAAGGTGAAACGCTACAGATATGCAATTCAACGAGCATGCATACGGTTGATGGTAGTCTGACTATTAAGGGTCTTCAAGGCCTGATGATCAGTGTGAAGCAGAAACTCTCTCGAGATCAAATAGTGGTCCCAATGCTTCAAAGACTGAACTATGGCATATAACTCCAGTTCATATGCGGTCCACTTCTGTCGAGCTTCGCTGAGTTTCTCACTGTAAAAGGCAATTGGACGCCCTTCCTGAGATAAAACACCATCAATTCCTATGATGGACGCATCACAATCAACTTCAAAGACTTTTTGAAAATCTGGAAGTGCAAGCACAGGTGCGGTGGACAACTTCTCATTGATCAGTGCAAAGCTACGATCTGCATCTTCCCCCCAATTGAACTTTCCTTTCTTCATGCATTCAGTTATAGGTGCTACAATGCTGCTGAAATTTCTTACAAATCTCCTATAGAATGTTGCTAGGCTATAAAAACTACGAACTTCGCTGACAGTCTTCGGGGTAGGCCAATCTCTAATAGCATGAACTTTCTCTTCATCAACATGAATACCCTCTGCACTAACAACAAAGCCTAGAAACACGAGGCTACTGATCATAAAGTTGCACTTCTTCATATTGATGTACAACTTGTTCTCCTACAAAACTGTTACTACCTCCCTCAAGTGGTCCAGATGTGCAGCCTCACTCTGCCTATAAATCAGGATATCATCAAAGTAAACTACAACGAACTTGCCGATAAAGGGTTTTAATACCTGATTCATCAATCGCATGAAAGTGCTAGGGGTATTAGAAAGACCAAAAGGCATAACTAACCACTCGTACAGGCCTTCTTTTGTCTTGAAAGCAATCTTCCACTCATCTCCTTCCCTAATCCGAATCTGATGATAGTCGCTTTTGAGATCTATCTTGGAGAACACTTTTGAACCAGATAACATGTCTAGCATGTCTTCCAAGCGTGGAATAGGAAATCTATACTTCACTGTAATCTTGTTGATAGCCCTACTATCCACACACATACGCCACTCTCCGTTCTTTTTTGGGACTAGTAGTGCTGACACTGCACACGGACTCATGCTAGGTCGTATAAGGCCCTTCTGGATGAAATCATCCACCTGCTTCTGCAAAATCTCTCCTTCCTTCGGACTCATCCTATAGTGTGGCAGATTTGGTAGTCGAGATCCAGGGATAAATTCGATCTGATGTTGAACGTCCCTAAGCATGGGTAATTCAGAAGGAAGATCATCAGGCATAACTGCATCAAATTGATGTAAGAGGGTCTGTACTTCAAGTGGAATATCGGCAGTGGTAGACTCCTCTTTTCTTAAAACTACAAGGGCATAAATCTCATCAGACTGCTTCACATCTTTCATAAAGTCTTCATTGTTAACGACCAAGAAATTCTTCTTTTCAGCCACATTGGTTTTGATAGGCCCCTTTTCGGTTAGAGGCTTGAGCACAATTCGGTGACCATCCTTCTTGAAAATGTAAATGTTATCTTCCCCCTATGCGTGGCATCAACATCAAACTGCCAAGGTCTGCCTAACAACATATGACATGCATCTATCTCTACTACACCACACAATGCCTCATCCACATAAGTTCGGCCAATGGAAAAGGATACCCGACACACTTCATCAACCTGTATGTCATTACCCTTGCGAATCCAGCCAATCTTGTAAGGAGCGGGATGCTTCTCCGTCTTCAGCCCTAACTTCTCAACCATGTGCCGAGAGACAATATTCTCGCTGCTCCCACTATCAATGATGACATCACAGATCTTCTGTTGCACCGTGCATCTCGTTCGAAAGATGTTATGCCTCTGTGATGGTTCTTCTGCTTTTGGAGCCAACAATAGTCGCCGCACAACACATGAGAGTTGTTCCCCATCATCATCAGCGTCCAACCCATTATCATAGTCTTCATCATCGTCTCGGTCTGCATCCTCATCTTCATGATCCACCATGTTCACAGTACCTCTTTTAGGGCACTGATTGTATCGATGACCAGACTGTCCACACCTGTAACACTTGATCGGGTCAGGCTTGGCATAAGAGTTCGCTGGGGTAGGCTTCTTTGCTTTTGTTGTCGCTGGACCCTTGCCCTTCTCCGTTGTTGCATCCTGCTCGGAAACAGTTTGAGGCTGTTTACTTCCACCACGTTTGAAACTCGTGTGCGACCCATCGAAAGCTACCCATGATCCTTTACTATTTCGTCCGAGTTGTCGCTCTACCTTCTCGGCTAGGCTAACTGTATCTGCTAAGGTATAGGTCTGTTGTAGAGATACACGATCCTTAATTGCCATCCTTAATCCCCCTGTATATCGAGACATCTGTTAGGCCTCGCTCTCGTTCAAGTTGTTGCGGGATGACAGCCGATAAAATTCCTGTGTGTACTCATCCACGGTTCTTCCACCTTGCTTACAATTTTGGTACTGCCCGAATAATACTTGTTCATAATCACTTGGAAGAAAACGGGCTCTCAGTAGCTTCTTCATCTTCTCCCACCTTTCGACCTTCGGCTTCCCTTGACGAGATCGATTCAGACAAACAGATTCCCACCAAGCTGAAGCTCCACCTTTGAGTCGGTAGGCCACCAATTTTACCTTGCGTTCTTCTAGGATCTCCATATACTCAAAGAACCTCTCTACTTCTGCAATCCAGTTGAGGAACTCTTCAATATGCAGTTGCCCGTTGAAAGATGGCAGATCCATCTTCATCTTGAAACCTCCAACGTCATAATTATCCCTTCGTCGTCGGTCTCTACGATAACCACCATGGCGTGGGGGTGCATAATGATCTTCCTCGCTGTCGGAATCTTCATACGGAGTCATCTCACGTCGTTGGCGACCATCAACGCGATTTTGATCTCCTGTCATGTCCAGACGCTCTACTGCCGCAGCTAGTCGCTCCATGATAGTCTTCATCTGATTGACATTGGTCCTTAGCACGTCGAACTCAGTTCGAGAAATAGGGGCTTCATCACCTGTCATCGGATCGGAGGAATAAGGCTCTGATACTAATTGACGCAACGCGAAAGTTGTAACCTCGGAATCCACCAAGGGTGTTCTCTGAATCCATAAAGAACGATCTTCGAATCCACGAAGAGCTTCGAATCCACGAAGAGCTTCGAATCCATGAAGAAATATTGAGGAAAAATAAAATTTTATTAATCAAAAGTTATGCCTCTAGAGCTTACAAGACTTTTCTTAAATAGAAAAAGAAATAAGACTCCTACAAGGACTCTAATTCCTACAAGGACTCTCAACTTACCAAAAATGGTAAAGAATTCCTAAAACATTAAAACTCCTAAAAAGACTCCTTATGATTAGGAAAGACCTCCGGTCAAATCTGAGATCAAATCGGATTTGTTTGCTAAACAAAACAGACTCCTAAAATATTACTAAAAATAGTAAAAACGGATAAAAATACAAATATCTCTCAAACCGTAAGGAATTTAGCAAAACTAAGAACACAAGCCAAACCCACGGGGGTTGGTTTGGATGGCTCCGTCTCATCGAGATAGTCGATTTTCATATATAATTCGTCCAATTCCGACGTACTGTTTGAAAGTTACGGCCGTTTCTTCGAAACAAGTTATTTTCTTCGACCAGGCCCGCATTTGGGCTTGCGACTATCCCACTTTGACATAAACGTGTCTGCTAAGTGTTCTACATCAAACAGCCTCAACAATTATGAATATGCAATAAGTTTCGATAATGATCAAACTTGTTGCTTGGAACCACCTTAGTGAGCATATCCGCCGGATTATCCTTCGTGTGGACTTTCACAATCTTCACATCGCTATCTTCAAGAACATCTCGAACGAAGTGATAACGAACATCAATGTGCTTCGTTCTCGCATGAAAAACCTGATTCTTCGCCAAATAGATAGCACTCATGCTATCACAATGAATAGTGACGGACCTCTGCGATATATCAAGTTCCTCAAAAAATCCTCGAAACCAAATAGCCTCCTTCACAGCCTCCGTAACTGTCATATACTCTGCCTCCGTCGTAGACAAAGCCACCATCGATTGTAAGGTGCATCTCCAACACACCGACGTACGGGTCAAAGTTAACACATACCCCGTAGTAGACTGGCGCTTATCCAAATCCCTAGCATAATCCGAATCAACATAGCCAATGCATGACTGCCCACCTGTAGTGTGCCGCTCATAAACTAAACCAACATTGAGCGTACCTCGAATGTACCTCAAAATCCATTTCACAGCGTCCAAATGACCCACTCCTAGATCGTGCATGTATCTCGATACCATGCTTACTGCTTGTAACAAATCTAGTCTCGTACATACCATCGCGTACATCAAGCTCCCAACCGCACTCGCATATGGAGTCTTCGACATCAACTCTCGATCTTCAACTGACTTCGGTGAAAGACCAGCTGAAAGCTTCAAATGGGCTCCTAAAGGTACACCAACTGGCTTCGTATCCATGCTAACATGGAATCGCTGTAGAACCTTCTTCAAATAAGCCACCTGTGTTAAACAAATTATGTCTTTCTTCTTGTCTCTGTCGATCTCCATCCCTAGAATGTGTTTCGCCTCACCCAAGTCCTTCATCTCAAACTCATTTGAAAGCTGAACTTTCAACTCATTTATAGTCGACCTGGAAATAGAGGTAACCAACATGTCATCAACATATAGCAATAAATAAATGTACGCACCTTCTTTCAACTTACAAAAATATACGTAAGGATCAAACTGGTTCCGAGTGTACGAATGACCAATCATAAAACCATCGAATCGCCTATACCACTGCCGAGGAGACTGCTTCAAACCGTATAGCGATTTATCTTTCCCTACAGCTCGGAATCCCAATGACTAAGTCATATATATTTCTTCATCAAGATCACCATGAAGAAATGCCATCTTCACATCCAACTGATCTAACTCCAAACCATATTGTGCCACCAAAGCTAGCAAAATCCGAATCGAAGAGTGCTTCACCACTGGAGAGAAAACCTCATTATAATCTATTCCTTCCTCCTGTGCATAGCAATTCGCAACCAACCTAGCATTGACCCTCAATGGAGCGCCTTCAATACGCTCCTTCTTCGTGTATACCTACTTGCAACCAATTGCCTTCCGCCCCTTTGGAAGCTTAACAAGGTCCAATGTATTGTTCTTATGAAGAGATTCTATCTCCTCCTGCATAGCCACCTACCACGAATCAACCTCCGAACTCTGCTCGGCCTCTCTGAATGGAATAGGCACCAACTCATCGATACTCTCCATCGGAAGTGCATACGTAACTGTGTCGGCAGACCGTGCTGGCATCTGTATGTTTCTCCTCTGTCTCCGAACCATAATCGAATCCTGAACCTGATCCTGCACATCAGTACTCGTATCCCCCGTGTCATCATCGTGCTCACCTGACGTTACCTCAGTCGGCACTCTAATAGATACTGTACCATCTGGACAATATGGAGCTGCATCGATCTCCACCACCTGTGATATCTCCTCCGTCGGGTCGCTCTCCACCTGATGAGAGCTGGAAAACTTCAAGGTAGAAGCCTCATCAAATGTGACATCCCTACTCAGCATAATCTTCTTATCAACTGGATCCCAAAGCTTGTATCCCTTGACACCACGCTTGAATCCTACAAATATGACCTTCCTAGCTCGAGGTTCCAATTTATCTGTTCTCACATGATAAAATGCAGGGCACCCAAATACCTTGAACTGGTCATAGTCATGTGCTGGCTCTCCCGACCACATCTCCATAGGGGTCTTTCCCTCAATCGCAAATGAAGGCAGCCTATTAATGAGGTGGCTCGCATATGTAAGTACCTCAGCCCAAAAGATCTTCTCAAAACTACTCTGCGACAATAAGCATCAGATCTTCTCCAGTAAAGATCGATTCAACCTCTCTGTCACCCCCATTTTACTGTGGTGTATAACTAACCGTGAAGTGCCTCTCTATGCCCTCGTCTCGACATAGCTGCAGAAAGGGGTCTGAAGTATATTCACCACCGTTGTCGGATCGCAACGTCTTGATCTTTCTCCCCAGTCTGCAGTTCCAATCTCTTCTGTTGGCCTTCTTGTTTTGATGATGTTTAACAAACAATTTACTTCTAATGTTGTTTGTCTAGTATTTGTGTTTTCGTATTTATTCTAGGCAAACAACGTGTAGGAGGATGGATGGAATAGAGCTTCAACGATGATATCCAATGGAGGTTGGCGGAATGTCGGGTTGAAGCCTTGCAATTCATAGTTAAAGATCAAGTTCAAGCTTCATCCACACGTGTACCAAGTTGAGCTCAATGAAGATCAAAATCAAGCTTGGGTAATTTAGTTTAGGAGTTTATATTATGTGTGTTAATACCTTAAGCTCAATTATCTATACACACACATTTATTGGTTTCTTCGTGTATATATATATATATATATATTATATTATATATATATATATACTATATATATATATATTATATATAATATATATAGTTATTGGCTTTTTTTTCTATGTATATATATAGTTATATATATACATATATGTTTTTGTTTAATAGGTTTTGAGTTTATATATGAAAACAAATGAATAGAATTAGAAAATACTATTTGTTTTCATGTTTATGTGCCTATATATGATTTGTCTTTAACAAAGTTATATTAATGAAATCATATTTAGTGTTTTGTATATATTGATAGATTAGAATATGCAATTTATGAAAATATTATATTCTTAGTTTGTAGATTGAATATCAGTTTATACAATGTTTTACTAAGCTCTATAAAAACATTTTACAAAGTTTCAAAAGTTGGTTTATGTCAAAACATCAAAATTCAAGTATCTCATATTTTTATGTTTGGACTATTTTGTAAATGATGATATTTTTTCATTTGGGAGGTCCTTTCTGATGAACCAGTCACTGTAGCAGTGTTTATTAATCATTGTTCTTCAATATTCTCAAAGTTTTTACATTTTTTAGAATTTATTTGATACTTTTAAACAGCGTTTCAAAATCAGATATACAGCTTTCAAACCTGTTTTTTATGTATCAGTATTCGGTCGGCCGGACGGATCGACCGATCATTTGATCTTTCATCACTGGGCGACAGAGAGTCTGTCAGTCGACCGGTGCGGTCGACCGAAAGCTCCATCGGTCGATCGCACCGGTCGACCGACGATGGTCCAGATCGTTTCTTCGGGTTTTTGCTCTCCATCGGTCGACCGACAGAATTTCCGGTCGACCGACAATAGATCCGTTGGCTTCTAACGGCTATTTTTCTGAGCTGTTTTCTGGGGCTGTTTTGTCATTTGGTTTGGGGTTTTTGTTGAG